GATTTACCCATTATTAAACATTCTGCTGTCYAATTTGTCCTTTAATCACTGTATTAGGGCCTGATTATATGAGGCGGGCTGGCCCGGTTTGCCGAGATCTCGGTTTGTCTTCAAATACAAAAGATTCCGGCTGTGCAATTACATGGAAAGCGAGCCAGCCTGGTTTGCCGATATCTCGGTAATCCACAACCGGGATCCCGGAAGACCGGGCTGAAAATTTCCCATATAATCGAAAGTCAAGCGGGCTGGCCAGCTTTAGTGCGCCTGCTGTCCAGAAGTGTGTCAGCTGTTTTGCGTACAACACGTGAGCGTCGTAATTTTTCCTTTCTTAGCATTTTCTTATACGATCCTGATACAGAAGCTACTACGTTATTTATTAACAGCGTTCTTTGAAGCATATAAAGTTGCAGTATTCCATAAAAATGGAAAAGCAGCGAAAAGAGTATACAAAATTGTGTTAACAATATGAGAACAAATTTCCTTATCCTGGTCAAATTATTATCTCCATTTTGTGAAAATTTAATTTTTCTTTAACAATCCTTCAGGGCTGAAAACTTATCGCCCCATGTAAGAGAATCCAGAGAACTAGAGGATTTCGGATTCCAAGCGCAAGATTCTGTATTCCGAAACATTGGATTCCGGATTCCAAGCCTTGGGATTCCGGATTCCAAAGAATTTTTGTGTTGGATTCCTGATAATAAATGGCGTGATTTTCAGTGTCTTTTTTTTCCCTAAAAATTTTATATTCAGCGTGAAACTACGTATATGAAGTACAGTAAAGACAGTTGGATTTACGTTCTCATCTCCCAACAGCTAGATTTTCACCGATAAAAGCAGTCTTCCTAACTATCCAGATTCTGGATTCCAAATAGTTGGATTCCGGATTCCAGGATAGGGATTCCGGATTCCAGGATAGGGATTCCGGATTCCAAAGCTGTATTTTTACTGGATTCCGGATTCCGGATTCTCTTACACGGGGCGAAACTTAATTGCATTGTAATTGATTCAGCTTGGGTAGCCCGCCTAATCCTGTCTCTCATATAATTGCGAGACGGGATGAATAAATAATGATCTCGGCAAACTGAGCCAGCCCAGTCAACCGGGCCAGCCCGCTTCATATAATCAGGCCCTTAGTCTGATCCTGATTGTTTAGACAATTTCTCTGTATCAAACACTAATGGAAAATGGAAAATGGAAAAAAATGCTCAAATGAAACACAATAATATTTTACTTACAACAACAAAGACATAAGCAATGATTGCCATTACATGATGTATCAGCATAGCATCATCTCCAATTAGATTATAGTTAATAACAATCACAAAGAAATCTACAAAAAAAAAAGAAGAAATATTATGTTCAATTTAATGTCATACTGCTTGAAATAGTTACACTTACTTAAGAAATAATAATCACTAATATACTGATGAAAACGTTCTTGATTCTCATTGGCTAAAACATTGTCAATTAAAAGACAGAAGGCAGAAACAAGGAATGCAATGGCAAAAAAAACCCACAGCTTTTTAGATTCTCAGTACTACAAACATTTCTGACAATCCTTTGAAAATGTATTGTGCAAAGGATTACAACTCCTAGATTTTCACAAAATCTCATTTAGCCACATCATGCTTTTTTGTTGTACCTTTTTGCTCAATTCTCAAACAAAATTTTCCTTGTTTTTGAGTCCAAAGAGAGTCTGACTTGTGACAAATCCATACAACTCCCATCATACTTTGTTGTATAATATGGAGTCCCTTCAAATTGCCTATATTCAGATTTTTGCAATGAATTTACCTGATATGATATATCCTAAAGTAATGGCAACTCCAAGTCTTGGTAAGAAGGAATCATTCCTGAATAATAACAAAGCACCATCAAGTTTCATATAAAAAGATGTAGATAATTCCAATTATTGATAAACACAAAAAGTAAAAAGTTAAACTATTGGAGGGGGGATTAAATGGGAGCACTTCTGTACTTACAGTGCCTTTCAAAACTGTGAAATATAGATTATGAGAGTCAGTTCAACTTCCTACTTCTTAACTGTGAAATATGTTTCAGACAAACATGCACTTTGAACTGTTTGTGAAACTGCTGATAATATATAAGTCACTTTACTGTACCATTTAAAAATAAAAAATAGAAAAGAGAGGCATACTCACCAAATAGGATTTGCATTTGTTTCATGGTCAAATAGCAARCAATATATAGAAATACCACTGACAATAACAGCATGTAAATTAGAGGCAATTCTRAAAAAGAAACAATTAACAATGAAACAGTCTGCATATGAACATGTTGACCACAACTGATAACAATTATAGGTATTGTTTAAAAGACACTTATTCCAAACTTTTGTGTGGTTTGCATATCTTCAAAGACATTTTTTARCAGACCCAGCTAATTATGGACTGTAGTAAATGTGTTTACAGTAGCTTGAATGTAATATCATTGTCTTTGTTCTGGAGCAATTTTGGGAATTTTAAAGAATTATCGCTTGTTGAGGGGACCATTTTATACCACTATCCTCTTACCTGSCTTTGTTATTACATAATACTTACCTTGTTTCCCAGTCACACTGCTTTGATTTAGATAGCCTTCCATAACTGATAAATATTCTTGAAATGATTGGACTTATAAAACATGTTAGAATTGTAAAAAACATGAAACTTAAACAAGAGGATGCAATGAAGAATCTTGCAGTGTACTTTGGTACCATGGTTGATTGTACATCTGAAATTCAAGCCAAATTATTAGACTTACTAGAATGATTAGAGCAAACGCAGGAAAACCATGAAATAAAATCAAACAAAATACTAACAAATAGTGGCTATTTAGAGAAAATATGTCAGTATCAATG